TCTCTCTCTCTCTCTCTCTCTCTCTCTTTCTCTCTCTCTCTTTCACAATTTTATTAAAGGAGAACACGAGTGGAAGAGGTAAGAGAAAAGAGGTAGAGAAGGCAGAGGTAATAGAGTAGACAAAACGGTATCCGATGGTGTAAGGCTTGTACCAAGGAATGAATAAGTTCAAGAAAGAAGAAGTTAGTTCATTCGATCAGTCTTCAAATTGTTTTCGCGAAGAGGGGTCGGTCAAGCGATCAATAAAGAAATGAATTTATTAATAAGATCGTTTAAGTTGCGATTTATCGCAATAATAGGATTTATTTTTATTGGAATTATATCGTTAGAAGCTAAACGACCAAGCGGACCAATAGAAGAAGCAATACAAAACGGTGAATTGAATAATTATATAAAAGAAAATTGTACTTGGAGACATGGACACGATAGAGATTCTTGCCCGGATCCGGAAATTCGTGTTTATTTGTATACCCCAGGAAATCCTAGAAGAGAACTCGATTCAAGGGAATCCGATTGGCTTAGACACGATTACGAACCTACAAGGGAAAATATTATTCTTATTCACGGATATGCAGGTGGTTGTTTATTTTGTTTATTTCTTTTTCTTTTTTTTTTTTTAACGAGGATATAGTTAAAAAATTATTATTAAATTAGTGTTTGACAAGAATAATATATATATATATATATATATATATACACATATATATTTATGTATATACACAATATTGTACATTATTAGAATCATTCTAATCGTATTTCGATAATAATTTAAATTAATTGTAAGAGTAAAATGTCATACATCATTAAAATGATATTATTATTTCTTGCTTTTATTGTTATCAATTAATTTATGTATATACATAAATATATCGAAGATAATTAAAATCATTATAATTCTATTTTAAAAATAATTTCATGAAAATATCGTTACAATTACGGATTGTTCTTATTAATGATCATGTACGTAGTTATATTTATCATGTGTATTGTTCATTATCCTTATTTGGTTTTTCGCAAGAGAACAAAATGACATTATCGTAATTCCCAGGTGGCGATAATACATTACCAATCTCAGTGTTACGAGATGCCTATTTGAGGAACGGTAGTTACAATATTTTCTTAGTAGATTGGGGAGCATTATCTGCAGCTCCCTGTTATCCAGCAGCAGTATCTAATCTTCGTCCAGTAGCTCGTTGTTTATCGAGAACACTGACGATTTTAAGAAATCTTGGTTTACCAATTCAACGGACAACCTGCGTGGGACATTCTTTAGGAGCTCATATATGTGGTATCATGGCTAATTATCTTCTCTTTCGAATGAATCGAATTATTGGCTTGGACCCAGCCAAACCACTGATTCGTTCAGGCCTAGTAAATAAATTGGACAGCGGTGATGCCGATTTCGTTGCAATTATACACACAAATGCCGGTTTTTACGGTGAATCTAATCGTTTGGGTCACGCTGATTTCTGTGTTAACGGTGGCAAAATTCAACCCTTTTGCGAGGGTAAAGAAAACGATAACCTTTGCAGTCATGTTTGGTCCGTTTGTTTTATGGCACATAGTATTGACAATGATGGTAGAAATATAATAGCAGAATCATGCTCGCGTAGATGTCCTTTTGGTCCGAAAATTGCACAAAAAGCTGGCGTTTATGTTACTATGGGACAACATACACCTAACGATGTTAGAGGATCGTTTTGTTTCAATAATTCATTACAACCTTATTGTCCAAAATATCAAAATGGTCATGGGGATGATAGATGTTGTTTACCGCCGAAAAACTCTGATATTTCGTTTAAAAAGAAAAATAAGATCTCTGTTAAATCACAAAAGGATCCTGATCGTTCAAATTGAACATACTATGTACCATTTTATTGATTCGAACTATACATATGAAACAGGTACACACATACACACACATTATAAATATACACTTTTTTAAATTTATCTGTAAATCTGTAGAAAAAATTGTAAATTATTTTCTATAAAATATTATTATCATATATATACGCGCATATTTGTGATAGGATTTACTATACGATGTATTTCTTAAATATTTTTTTTATATCGTTTTCAAACAATATTCATTTTCAATTTGAGAATTAAATCAAAACGAATTATATGTTATTCATAATTTTATTATTATTTTGTTAATTATATAATTCGAATATTGTTACGTTGTAACAAAAATTTTTGAAACATTTTGTATAAAAAAGATTTGAAAGTATTATAGTATTAGGTTTAATTTAATATGCATTGTCGTGTTAACGATGAATCGATGTCAACGGGACTTCGTGAAGAAGCCGTAACGCATACGGTACGTAGAACGCGTTTTGAGATTCCGGTGCTCGATTGAGTATTCAAACAATGTGCAGGGAAAATCTTCTGGTTGGCAGAGTAACCTTCTGTCTCAATACCGTTAGATGTTCTACTAAACCGTTTATAAATGTATCTAACAATAAAACGTTAATGGTTACTCGATATTTCGGCCACGTTATGCGTATTTATTTTTTTTTTTTAAAATGCGAATATCGTGGATGAAATAATAATAAAAAAGAAAAAATGTTCTTTTTACATTGTATTGAATTTAAAATTAAAAGGAAAACAAAAAAAATTAGAAAAATTTGTGTATGACAAAGACATGTAATAGAATTTTTCTAAACAAAAAGAAAGAAAGATTATCGTTAACATTAATGAGTCATTTTTATGGGCTGACGATGTTTGAATTGTAATCCCCACTGATTTTAAAGGGTCTTAAAAGACATCGAAACTCAACAGGGGTATGTAACGATAGTTAAACGACATATTAGAAAACTTTGCACATTTTTGTTTAATTTTTTTATTTTTATTAAAGAAAGAATGACCAGAATTTTTACAAGGAAATCAAAAGATTTATACTTATTTCAATTTATGTTATTTTACAATTAGATTATATGCATATATATGCATGTAATCTAACATATATATATATATCTATATATATATATATATAATTCTTATCTAGAAGAAAATACTTATTTAGAAGAAAATACTTATTTTTACAAATTATATAAAATTTATGTAAAAATATAAATATACATATATGTATATTTATATTTTTACATAAATTTTATATAATTTGTAAAAATAAGTATTTTCTTCTAAATAAGTATTTTCTTCTAGATAAGAATTATATATATATATATATAGATATATATATATATGTTAGATTACATGCATATATATGCATATAATCTAATTGTAAAATAACATAAATTGAAATAAGTATAAATCTTTTGATTTCCTTGTAAAAATTCTGGTCATTCTTTCTTTAATAAAAATAAAAAAATTAAACAAAAATGTGCAAAGTTTTCTAATATGTCGTTTAACTATCGTTACATACCCCTGTTGAGTTTCGATGTCTTTTAAGACCCTTTAAAATCAGTGGGGATTACAATTCAAACATCGTCAGCCCATAAAAATGACTCATTAATGTTAACGATAATCTTTCTTTCTTTTTGTTTAGAAAAATTCTATTACATGTCTTTGTCATACACAAATTTTTCTAATTTTTTTTGTTTTCCTTTTAATTTTAAATTCAATACAATGTAAAAAGAACATTTTTTCTTTTTTATTATTATTTCATCCACGATATTCGCATTTTAAAAAAAAAAAATAAATACGCATAACGTGGCCGAAATATCGAGTAACCATTAACGTTTTATTGTTAGATACATTTATAAACGGTTTAGTAGAACATCTAACGGTATTGAGACAGAAGGTTACTCTGCCAACCAGAAGATTTTCCCTGCACATTGTTTGAATACTCAATCGAGCACCGGAATCTCAAAACGCGTTCTACGTACCGTATGCGTTACGGCTTCTTCACGAAGTCCCGTTGACATCGATTCATCGTTAACACGACAATGCATATTAAATTAAACCTAATACTATAATACTTTCAAATCTTTTTTATACAAAATGTTTCAAAAATTTTTGTTACAACGTAACAATATTCGAATTATATAATTAACAAAATAATAATAAAATTATGAATAACATATAATTCGTTTTGATTTAATTCTCAAATTGAAAATGAATATTGTTTGAAAACGATATAAAAAAAATATTTAAGAAATACATCGTATAGTAAATCCTATCACAAATATGCGCGTATATATATGATAATAATATTTTATAGAAAATAATTTACAATTTTTTCTACAGATTTACAGATAAATTTAAAAAAGTGTATATTTATAATGTGTGTGTATGTGTGTACCTGTTTCATATGTATAGTTCGAATCAATAAAATGGTACATAGTATGTTCAATTTGAACGATCAGGATCCTTTTGTGATTTAACAGAGATCTTATTTTTCTTTTTAAACGAAATATCAGAGTTTTTCGGCGGTAAACAACATCTATCATCCCCATGACCATTTTGATATTTTGGACAATAAGGTTGTAATGAATTATTGAAACAAAACGATCCTCTAACATCGTTAGGTGTATGTTGTCCCATAGTAACATAAACGCCAGCTTTTTGTGCAATTTTCGGACCAAAAGGACATCTACGCGAGCATGATTCTGCTATTATATTTCTACCATCATTGTCAATACTATGTGCCATAAAACAAACGGACCAAACATGACTGCAAAGGTTATCGTTTTCTTTACCCTCGCAAAAGGGTTGAATTTTGCCACCGTTAACACAGAAATCAGCGTGACCCAAACGATTAGATTCACCGTAAAAACCGGCATTTGTGTGTATAATTGCAACGAAATCGGCATCACCGCTGTCCAATTTATTTACTAGGCCTGAACGAATCAGTGGTTTGGCTGGGTCCAAGCCAATAATTCGATTCATTCGAAAGAGAAGATAATTAGCCATGATACCACATATATGAGCTCCTAAAGAATGTCCCACGCAGGTTGTCCGTTGAATTGGTAAACCAAGATTTCTTAAAATCGTCAGTGTTCTCGATAAACAACGAGCTACTGGACGAAGATTAGATACTGCTGCTGGATAACAGGGAGCTGCAGATAATGCTCCCCAATCTACTAAGAAAATATTGTAACTACCGTTCCTCAAATAGGCATCTCGTAACACTGAGATTGGTAATGTATTATCGCCACCTGGGAATTACGATAATGTCATTTTGTTCTCTTGCGAAAAACCAAATAAGGATAATGAACAATACACATGATAAATATAACTACGTACATGATCATTAATAAGAACAATCCGTAATTGTAACGATATTTTCATGAAATTATTTTTAAAATAGAATTATAATGATTTTAATTATCTTCGATATATTTATGTATATACATAAATTAATTGATAACAATAAAAGCAAGAAATAATAATATCATTTTAATGATGTATGACATTTTACTCTTACAATTAATTTAAATTATTATCGAAATACGATTAGAATGATTCTAATAATGTACAATATTGTGTATATACATAAATATATATGTGTATATATATATATATATATATATATATTATTCTTGTCAAACACTAATTTAATAATAATTTTTTAACTATATCCTCGTTAAAAAAAAAAAAAGAAAAAGAAATAAACAAAATAAACAACCACCTGCATATCCGTGAATAAGAATAATATTTTCCCTTGTAGGTTCGTAATCGTGTCTAAGCCAATCGGATTCCCTTGAATCGAGTTCTCTTCTAGGATTTCCTGGGGTATACAAATAAACACGAATTTCCGGATCCGGGCAAGAATCTCTATCGTGTCCATGTCTCCAAGTACAATTTTCTTTTATATAATTATTCAATTCACCGTTTTGTATTGCTTCTTCTATTGGTCCGCTTGGTCGTTTAGCTTCTAACGATATAATTCCAATAAAAATAAATCCTATTATTGCGATAAATCGCAACTTAAACGATCTTATTAATAAATTCATTTCTTTATTGATCGCTTGACCGACCCCTCTTCGCGAAAACAATTTGAAGACTGATCGAATGAACTAACTTCTTCTTTCTTGAACTTATTCATTCCTTGGTACAAGCCTTACACCATCGGATACCGTTTTGTCTACTCTATTACCTCTGCCTTCTCTACCTCTTTTCTCTTACCTCTTCCACTCGTGTTCTCCTTTAATAAAATTGTGAAAGAGAGAGAGAGAAAGAGAGAGAGAGAGAGAGAGAGAGAGAGATAGGTAAAGTAGTTTGACAAAGATATAAATAAACTTCAAGCAGAAAGGAAACGACCGCGCCTTCAAACTTTGAGTATACGCGTATAAGTATATATGTTATATGTATGTGTAATATGTACGCAAATTCATGTCGTAAATTTGTATTCAAGATTGTTGATTCGTGAGATAAATCTTTTATTCTTTTTCCTTTTTTCTCTTTTTTTTTTTTTCGTATCTGTACTTTACTTAATAAATACTGTCGTAAAAATAATATGTGGATTGAATTGTTTAATTGAACAAGAACATTTACTTTATGCGATGTAAATTCTAAAAAATCTGATTTTATTTGTAATAATCGAAAAATAAAAACACGTATCTTTCTCACTTTTTTCATATTATTACATGGAAATAAATGATTTTATTAAATCGTTGTGTAAAAATTGCGTGTAATAATAAAATGAATGTATGATGGTATACTTTTATATAGTATTTATTTTTTTAAATGCGTAATTATCACTAAATATGTGGTAGTAATGAAAAATGAAAAATGAAAATAGAAAACGACTGGATATCTACAATTCCGTAAACTTGTAATTTCTCTTTTTACTCTCTCTCTCTCTCTCTCTCTCTTTCTCTTTCTTTCTTTTTTTCTCTCTTCCGTATAAATTTTAGATTTCTCTGGTGTAATCCTGATGTTAAAATTTGACGAGTGAAACTGACATGTTTAAAGCAACGTGTATCGCTTACCGTACGCTCGTTTCACTTTGTATAAAATTTATCACCTTGATCGTTTATCAAATGGAATGACGAAAGTATTCAGGTTAACTTTGGATTACTATGTTACACAAAAGAGAATTATCGTTACAAGGTTAATTGGATAAGGACTCTAGTATAAATGCCATTTGAAAATTGCATTATAAAAGTGAAAAGTATGTTAAGAAGAAAAATAATATTTCAAGAAACCGTGAACTTTTGAAACAATATTGTAACATAAAAGATGTTCATACGTGATGAGGAAAAAATTAAAAGGAAAGTTTTTCTATTATTGGAAAATATTCGAGGTAAAAATTTTAATTTATGTAATCAGTTCTTTTACTTTTTAAAGTGAAAGTTTCAAATTCCATGGTCATCTCGGAAATGAACAAATATGTTTACTATCGTATCAGTGAAAGTGTGTTTCTACAGTTAAATAAAAATTTATTATATATACATATTTTTAATCAAAATTTATAATATAAAATTAAGGAAAATTATTAAATTATTTAACATTCGTGTAATTTGATAAGAAATAAAAATTCTACAATAGTACTATCAAATTCAAAACGATATGACAAGTTATGAAAAAAAACCTTCCTTCAATCCATAAAATTATTCCCACAAAAAATGAATTAAACGTAGAGAATCTCATAATATTGTAAAAAGAAAAGAAATTTACCAAATCTTATGAACCAAACAAAATTTCAAATAATAATAATTATATAAAAATAAGCCGTTAAAAAACATTGTAAAACAATATACAAATAAACGATTACAGTTGCTAAATGATAAAGCTCTTTTCTTTTTTAGATTTTTAATTAAAATCTTTTAATTATAAATGTATTCTATATCAGATCAATGAGGGTTGTTGATAGTTTTTTGCATAACTGACCCAACCTTTCAAGCAAAGCTTGTATTATAGTAAGTATACACGTCGTACGACGAATATTACGGCAAACGTGTTATGCGTCACTTCCGGTTGGCGGTAAAAAAAAGCAACAAAGTGGGCCGCCAGTACGAACACTGCTCCCTTCTTCTTCTTCTTCTTCTTCTTCTTGTATTTCTTCTTCTGTTTCTTCTTCTTGTAATCTCTTACGCCGCTCGTCACCGCCAACGAGCTTCTTAATTGTCCACGCGTCGTCTGATTTATAACACTAGCCGACCACTTTTCTTATTCATACTTTCAATTATTCAAGATATTCCCTTAGGTAAGTTCGTAAAGATTTTGTTTAAAAAATCCGATTATTTTTATTTTATTTTATTTCATTCTGTTTTCTTTTTTTCTTTTTTTAATTTGACACTACGTATTATTTATTTAATCAGTATTTCGTAATATACACATGAATATACTTTGTTCGTTATAAACAATCAATATAAAAATAATCGTACAAATACACAATCATAAATATACAAAATAATAGTTTTTGTATTAATCTATGTAATATATACTGATCCAATAAATAATTATCTTTATGTAAACGATACACGTGTATCTATGTAAAATTTAGTTTCGTCTGAAAAAAAAAACAAAAAAACCAAATTGAAATCTATAAGAAAATATTAATTGTCAAAAAAAAAAAACAGATCGCTACGAATTTATCCAACGATTTTCGATTAGTAGATTTGACGCGGGAATTTTTTTTTCTTTTT